TTCCTGCCTTCCAGTCTCTCTCTATTGGCAGAATGTAATAGGGAGCTAGGTGGCAAAGAAGGAAAGGTAGTTTATGGAGTCCAACTGCAGCATCAGAGAGGAGTATAGAAGTATAGGTTTGGAGCTGAGAGACAAGGCCTTGACAACCGGCATGGCCACCTTCTAACTACTCAGTCCAGAAACAGCCTTGTATACTAATTTGTACTCCCAAGTAAAAGCAACTTTACATTTTTGCCTTATAAGATACAAGAATCTCTTAAACTTGAAGGTAAAAAAAAAAAAATTCTTCCTTAAAATGAAGATGGTCTCACTCTCTTCCCCAAAGGGGAAGATACAACATTCCAAAAGGAGGCTAAAGAAGAGCAAACCCAGACCTTCTCAGACACACAAAAACTCAAACAGCATACACCTGTTATAGGCAGAATTACAGCTCTCCAAAGATGTCCATGGCCTAATCACCAGAAACTACGGATGTGTTACCTTGAATGGTAAAAGGGATTTTGCAGATGTGATTAAGGATCTTGAGAGAAGATCATTATGGATGATTCATGTGGGCCCAACATAATCACAAGGGTTCTTATTCAGAGGGAGGCAGATGGGAGGGAGGGAGGAAAGGAGGGAGAGAGGGAGGGAGAGAAAGAGAGAGGGAGAAGAAACACAGAGGGAGAAGGATGAGAGAGAGGAAGGAGAAGGAAGAGGGAGAAGGCTTGAAGATATTATACTGATGGCTTTGAAGATGGAGGAAGGAGAAAGAGTCAGGAGAAAAAGTAAAAGAATGGGAAGGGGAAGAGGGAATAGGGCTAGTGAAAAAGTAAAATAGGAAAAAGTAAAAGAATGGAAGGGGCACAGTTTCTGGTATGTTGACAACACAGATTTAAACATTACTGTCAAAATATAAAGTTAATAACAAAAGAGAGAGAGGAAGGAAGGGAGAAAGGGAGTGAAATCTCTGAATTGCCTAATGGTTCCAGAGGCAAGGAGAGAGATGACGGAAAAAAACAATCTAGTAAAGGAAAAGAGAAAAAAAAAATTTATATCTATATCTATTATAATGACTATCATTATATCTACATATAATCATTAATATATAACATATAATACAGAGTAAAAACATGAAAAGAGGTATTCGATATTCATTTTGCAAGTATTTTTGAGCATCTTCTATGTACCAGGCACTGTTCTAAGTACCGAGCAACAGCTTTGAACAAGACAGACAAGGTTTGAGTTCTCAGAGAAAAATGTGATTGTGATAAATTCTATGCAGAGAATTAAAACAGTGACGGGAAAGAGAGAGACAGGGTGGCTACATGATATTAGGTTGTCATGGAAAATCACCCTCAAGAGGTGAAATTTAGGCTGAGATCTAAATGATAACAAAGAGCCAGCCAAAGATCAGGGTGAAGAGCATTCATGGCTGGCAGAGGAACTGGCTAGCACAGAAAAAGCTCGAACATATTATGCAGGTGGTTTAAATGTCCCATTTAAAAATAAAAACTAGATATGATTAGGTTTCAAAAAATTCCAGCCAATATCTGTTTACAGGTAATTTACTTAAAACAAATATCAAATAAAGGATGAAAAAAAGGGGTGGAAAAGATACATCAGCAAATTCTGACAAAAAGTACGCTAGAGTTAGCAATATAAAGAGGAATTTTAGGACAAAGAATTAAATGATCAAATAAGATTTTACAGTGATAAAATGCACAATCCACCAAGAAGATTTAAC